ACATTCTTAAAATGTTTTATTTCAAACCTTATGAAAAGAATATCCTCCTTCCAGCATCCTCACTGATGGGGAGTAAAAATTGTTCATCAATAATATTCATAGAAGTAAATAACTTGAAAGCAAAAGATGTGGAAAGCCTTAACAATAGTATGTCAGCTCTTGTTAGTTATTAGAAAATGTTGGTCAAGTAAAAGCACTTAAAAAGAAAAGGAGCAAGGGTTATTTAATGTAATGCATCTTGTCTAAGAAGGAAAATATACAAGCAGTAACATGATAAAGTAACACTAATGGAAGAGAATGATAGAAGATGCAAGAGAAAGAGCATGCATGTTTGCATGATCAGAAGATTGGATTCATTCATTCTCTTTTTCCCTCCCCTCCCCAGTCATCTTATCATTGCTAACTGCTTTGCCTACTCACTCATTCATCCAATCATTCACTATTTTTACTGCAGTTGTGAAAGAGTCTGGACTACAATGACAGCAAGTGACTCAGTATCATAGGGAACAGCCGGCAGCTTAGTATTAAAATAAAAATAAAATAAAAAACGGAACCACTTGTCTGGAAGCTGATAATCCAATAATCCATCAGGTAAGATGGGCAGTTATCCATTTACCATTTGCTGGGAGGTAAAGACAGAAAAGCAGTGGTGCCTGATGGGAACCATGGCAGCAGAACAGAAGAAATATCTATCAACACAAGCAGAATGCACTTATACATCACTTATAAGAGAAAATCAGATAGGGTCATCAACCTAAGACAGAGTACATTTGTGAAAGGGACACTTTCACAGAGGATGTGTTATACTTATGAAGAGAATAAAGGAAAAGGTGCTTTCACTATGCCTATAACCGAAAATCATGACTTACAGTCAGAAAATATGATTGTCTGGTATACTGACATCTATAAGATGTTCGGCACTTACTCTTCTCACAGAGGTCTTTATCAGAAAGACAAGCAACCAAGGAAATTCTTTTGCTGCTTTATACAAATGTTCTGATTAAATGAATCCTTTTCCAGTCTCTATGGAGGATACTTAAAAGTGCTTATCAAAAAATAAAATATTCACACTAGATACAAAGCTTCCCATTTTAAAATGTCAGTCATAGAATTCCAATTTATATTATAGGAAGTTAATTTTTAATTGCACCCAATTCAACAGTCAAAAGAATATACTTTTCTTTAGATCACAGATTTTGTTTGAACAATGCTTTTTTTATAATTCATTAAAAAAAAAGAAAAAATAAGAGACAGGAAAATCTTAGCAGCAAAGATTGGAAATAGTTTCAACAGAAACCTGCAATGGATATCTGGACAAATCTGGAAAACTAATAGAAAAGATACATTTAGAGTAACAAATAAGTAGGTGACTTTTGAGTAGATCAGACTCCTTATTTACAGTTTTGGTGAGATTCAAATGAGAAAAGGAAAATCCTATGATTATTGGCAACTGAATGAAGAGAAAAGGAAGGAAAAGTACATAAATTTCATCTTTTCATTCTTGATGATTGTTTACAAGATCATAATTCAAAATGTACCATTATTTGACAAATTAATAGATCAAAACAAAAACAAAGGGTAAATGCTTTGTGAGGCATCTGATAATTTTCTAAAACTGCTGCTAAGCCTCAGGATCTATAATTTATCTCAGTCTCTGTTAAGCAATTTAGTGATTCATCTGCAATGATCGAAGGCACACTGAAAGTCAAGTCAATATTTGTGGCATTATTCATTTGATCAAGGACCTTAATGATTCTCCCTGCCATGGTCCTTATCAAAATTTATAAACATGACAAAATATTAACAATAGTCCCAAAAGGTTAGAAGTTATCTACAAGAAATGCTGCAAATTAAAGAGAACCAAACTACAATGGTTTAAACCAAAATATAATGGGCCTAAAATTTTATAAATTCTTCACTATAATGTGGAAATTACAAATTCAACAATTATAAAATGGAAAGAATGTTTTTGTTCTTTTAGAAATAAAAAAGTCTTCTATTCTAATTGAGTTGAAAAACACAAAAAAAAGACACTTGCCCGAGGTGAATAGCTTATAATTTCTGGTTTAAGATAAAATAGGATATTTGAAAGAACTATTAGAAATGTTATACCACTTGAGTGAAATTACTTTTTGAAAAAAGGAAAAGTTACAGTCAACAAGTCATGGCCTGAGTGAATGGCTAACTGATTAGGCATTTGTTTATGTATTCAGTATATATTTTAATACAACTGAACAAAGAAATCAAGATGCCACAACAAATAACTATATCTACATAAGTAATTATTACTAAATTATAAAAAAATGCTGGCAAAATTTTGTTGGCAAGAGATATCATGTGAAACTATCAGGAGCTACACAACAACAACAAAACTTTAAATAAGTAAGTGAGAGATTCAATGCAATTATGGCAGTGAAATACTGGAATCTGAGTGAATCAATGAAGATGAATTTACCAGAGTATCAGGGTGTAAGAGAGAGTGAGGCAAATAGAGAATGAGTGGGGTGGAGGTAGTGTTTCAGCCAAGTATAAAATTCTCTCTCCCATTTGGGTGTTAGCAGCAGTAAAGGAAAAAAAAAAGAGAAAAGAGCAGCAGAAAGAGAAGAAGCAGTAGCAGTTGAGGTGCTGGGTTAGCAAGAAGAGTAGCCAGCCAAAGTGCACTAGCAGAGAAAACCAGAGTTCTTGCTGAATGAACAGTACAAGACAAGCAGAGTTAGTTCAGCAATTAGATACAAACTGATTATTGTGTCTTATATTATTGTAGAATAAATTCCCTGCATATCACTAAGTGTATGATGGTGGAGGTGGAGAGGTCTGCTGCTATCTGTTGAAGTGTTTGTTGCTATCTTCTCTCTCTCTTTTTTTCCCACCCTCCCATAACCAACCATCCAGACACTAATGATTGATGATGATAATGGGCATCATCAGAGGGGCAGGTTGGGTGCAGTGCAGGGGTAGAAGAGAAAGCGAGAGAGAGGGGGAGGGAAAAGAGACAGTAATCTAGCTGTATAAACAGAAGCAGATGTATAGAGAGGTTCATGTTGTAACATGTCAACTAACTATACAAGTGTCGAGAGGAGGAACAGCTCCAATCTATAATGTTCAACCACACAATCAATACAAATAATGGATTAAAAATAAATATTCAATTTTCACAAGCTAATTTTTTTTTTTTTTTTTTTTGAGAAAACAACAGAAGGAGAGTGCACTACGTAGAGTGGGGGGACATGAGAAGCAGCAGCAGCAAGGAGAGATTTTAGTCAGAAGACAATATAAACACAAAGTGTAGTAAGTAGAATCCATGTAGATCTGTGTTAGTGTTACTGTTATGTATCAATAACTGGCAGTTGATGTACAGGATGTGATAGCTTTAAGAGAATTATAACAATCAGTACTGTACTTGATATGGTAGTAGTAGTAGTAGTAATGCACGAGACAGGGTAAGTGAGAGGGCAAGAGTGAGAGTAAAACTTGACTGCTGATTAGCAATAGAAAGAATAACCTAAAAGCTTACCAGCGAAAACTAGTCGATCATTTACACAAGCACACAGATACAAACGTTTCAGTTAGGAAATATACAGCTACATATTTTTCGTGTTTAGTCAGGGTTAACAAAGAGCAGTGGTAGCACCAAGGGCAAGAGAGTGAAAGGAGCTGGTGGCCAAGGGACAAAGTTCAAGTGCAAAGAGGGGCTAAAGAGAAGAAGAGGCCAGTATAAAGGGTCTTAAAGTCGCTACTGCCTGGAGACCTATAATAAAATAAAATTAAAAATGCTTAATTTCATGTTTTTTTGTTGCCTTGTGGATAAAATCAGCTTTTACACAAGGACAGACAGAGAACGAGAAAAAGAAAGGGGATAAGGGATGGGATCTTCCTAAAAAGTTAACTTCCAATCAATATCAGGAATCAATTATAAACAAAATAATGTTTGTTAGGCAATGAGAATATTTTTAACGAGACTCGTATTGTGAGATGTTTTTAAAGAAAAAATACTTTCGTAACTTATAAGAAAAAAAAAAATACATTCATTTCGGGAATAATCCGGTGTTACCTCAATTTTAGTTTTTAAAGAGAAAATTACCTTACAATTTTTCTTGATTGACATTTGACAATGACATCCTCTGTCACACACACAGCGTTTCGGTTTTACAATAAAAAATATTTACTACCAACAAACCCCATTGGACGCTTATATTTTTTCGGCGGATTTAATCAAATAGAAACCATAACACGAAGAATATGTAAGAAAGTGGTGTAAATTTAAAAAACGTTAAAAGAAAACGAGTAAAAAAAATAACTATCTTTTCTTTTTCTTTTTACTCCCTAGTCTAGTTTCTTCAGAGTTAAAAAAAAAAAAAAAAAATAAATTTTATTTATAACTCATCTTTTTGTTTTTCTTTCATTTATTAATTATTGTGGTGAAGGTACTTGTATTAGATAAATAAATAAAAGAAATCAGCATTATCTACCTTTCAAAACATTCAGAAATATTGTTTAAACAATGAACGTTATTTTTCGTTTTGCAACCATAACTGATGACAACATTGTCACATGGTCTAAGCAACATCTTTCTTTTAAAAGGAATATCCCCAAATAGCCATGTGACTATATTACCTAACTTTTTCTTTTCTGCATTTTCAATAAAAATATGGTTGGTTAGATGTTGATATTTTCTATTTATAAAAACAAAAATGGTTAACTCTGACAATGTTTTTAACTTCAAAGACACATTTTTTTTATTAATATTTGAAGGAATTATTTAAGAAAAAAAAAACAAAACATTTTTTATACATTTAAGTCAAGTTGAAACAATATATAGTCGAAGTAAATTCAATTTTTAAAAACTTATTTTCTTTGAACAGTTTTCGTCGTTCTTACCTGCAGGTGGAAAAAATAAATAGAAAAACAAAAACAAAAGACAATGAAAAACAAAAAAGCCAAAGTAAAAATAAATTCCAATTGATGAGACAGGATTTCTATCTCCATCATCGCATATTTACCTTTTCTACTTTTATCTTTTTAATAGGTATTCCGAATCCGTCTTCCACTTTGGCATTAAATTCATAAGGATCCGGTGTAGGGTTTTCCTTTTTAAGGTGTGGCACATCGCCACCTCGGGGTTCCACCATTGAAGTGGAATTGTTGCTACTATTATTACTACTATTAGCGTTATTATTACTATTATTAGTGTTACTATTACTGTTGTTATTACTATTATTATTATATATCACTGGAGAAGAGGTATCCAAGCCATTGGTGATGGAGGCGGCGGCTGCCGGCGTGGAGGCAGATGAAGAGGAGGAAGATGACGATGAGTTTGTGTTGTTATTACTGCCATTGGAGACACAACAATCAGCCCCAGACGCCAGAGGGGCACAAGACGACGAGGAGGCAGATGATGGACATGATGAAGATGATGTGGACGACGGTGTACATGAAGTGGCAACACAAGAAGTGGCCGAAGAAGACAACGACGACGATGTGGAAGATGAAGATGAAGACGATGTCGTCAAGGAAGATGACGATGAAGCGGGTGTCGTCGTCGTCGTTGTCGTAGTGGTGCTGCTCGTGATGGTATTTGTTGTTGTGCTTGTATTGTTATTACTGTTCTTGTTCTTGTCTTTCACTTTTTCTTTTTTGTGAGACCCTTTCATTTTCGGCGACTTTTCCTGCTTGCTGTTGTCGGCGGTGGGAGAGGGTTTTATCTTGTCCGGCAGGAGTACCCCATTAGCAGTGGTGTTGCCACTGGTGCTACCCGGAGTGTTGGTGGTGCCACCACCCTGGTTGGTAGCACCAGTGCCCCCGCCAGACCCTGCAGTGTCGGACGAGGTGGTAAGACCCACATTCGAAGAAGAGGCCCCGGACGACGATGAACTAGACGAAGACGACGTACACTTGGAATCAGATTTCACTATCTCATGTTTAGGCTCTGCCTTGTTATTGGCTCCACTCACATTTTTTCTTTTTATTTTCATTTTTAATCCTTTATCTACAGTTGCTTGGTGCTCAATATTGCTATTCATCTTCCGCTGATTGGGCGTAGAAGTAGAAGCAGTGGTGGTGGTGGTGGTGGTGGTGGTGGTGATGTTAGTGTGTCTATATCTTTAAATGATGAAGTGATTGGTGTGAATGCGTCTGTAGATTCGTGTGTTTATATTCTGTGTGTGGCTTTGTTAAGGTGAGCAAGCCACACTCCAGCTGAGAGTCGAATCAGTGCTCACACACACCGAGGGGAAAGTAGACATCCAGCTATACATCTCCTATAGATTTCGATATCGACACAAACATACATATCTTTTTTTCCTGGTGACGGTGCTGATGTCGGTGTCCGGGGTAGCAGTCTGCTGTCTTGCCAAGGTAAGATATCTGGCTCCGTAGCAATAGTAGTCGTCACCGTGGTGCTACTAAATTCACTTAGTAGACAGGCAGCACCAAGAGCAGCAGCTCCTCCATGCCTGCCATTTCTCTCTCTTTCTCTTCTTCCCTAAGATGTTAGCCAGCTGCTCCCTCCCTCCCTCCAACTGCTGCTGCTGCTGGTGGTGGTGTTGGTGAACAAGAGACTTCTTCCTTAACACTGTTATTGTCCTTATCATCGGCTCGGCACCTTCTGCATTGCTCTCCTCAGCCTGGAAAGAGAGGAGACACAACAACCGTTTACATCTCACACACTGACCTTAAACATATATATGGATAATACACTATTTCATTCAAGCCAGAAGCAGACATCATGACAATTAACTAGTTCTAAATATTTAATAATCTAATCTGAAAGAAATATAATTATTTTCCAGTTATCTAACTTGACCTTTCACCCAACAAAAATGTTGACCTGACAAGAGTAAAGTGATGGTGTTAGTTAAAAACAATATCTTTTTTATATAATTCTACTACTAAATATTTTTTGTGGACGGTGATTTCGCTCAAGTGGTAAGAAAAATCTAAGCTTAGAGTCAGCAGCGAAGTTTGTGGTCCCATCGAATCCATCACAAAAGTTCAAAACGGCGATCAGAAGCTTGAGCAAAGTAGCCTTTCTTATAGTCAATCAGTCTACTCTACTTAGTACTTGTAGCCTCTCTGCAGGTAGAAACTTGTACTACACAATGCTGTTAACAGTACAAAGTTATCCTTGAGAAACAAAAGTGAGCAGTTAGCAATTAAGCGCTAAGTCCAACTGATATGCGTGGCTTGAAAGTTAATAAGTCAGCTTTTGTTTCTCACGCGTGTATGGAGGTGGGAGGGGGTGCTCGCGCAAGTAGTGACATGGGGCGGCAATGGACATCCAGTCGGTGTAAAATAGAATCGCTATTTTTACTACTGCTATTACCACCACCACAACCAAACACTATTTTAAAAGCAATAGTGATGATGACGTACATTTGTTTAAATGGTACTCCGGCAAAGAATAGCGACCAGAAAGGAAGTAAAATTCACTGCCAACTTAGCTCTTTCCGTACACTGCTGCTACTACAACTACTAGTATCACTGCTGTTGGCTTGTATCACCCAAAGTACGAATTAGATTGTGTGTATGTATTTGTAAGGAAAACAAGTCACTGGTGTACACAACACACAGACACAATGCGGAGAAGCAGAAATAATAATAGTGTACTAAGTCTTTAGAGCAGAAAATGCTTTGTTTGCTATTGTATCCGAGTAATGACTAATGTATTTCAGTGCATCTACATGTGCGTGTGTCACATATGATACACATATGTGTTAAATTTGCTAATTTATTAACACTTACGTCTCTTCATCACTAGGAATAATAATGATCTGATTTTAGCGTACTGTTTTTGAATATACGAACTGTTAAAAGGCTGAATAAATCAGTGATTTATAGACATTTTCAGAATAAAGTTTTGAAAGCTTCAAAAAATACAAAAAGTACGAAACCGTATTAATTAGTACATATGATGAATAACTGGTTGCTGTTGGTGTTGTGGTGGTGATAGTGCCCCTTTATAGCGGTTATAACAAATTGTATATGTATGTGTACACGCGCGCTTGAAAAGGCGATCAGCAGGAAGTTGGTCGTTTGTTCAATGGCCACTTCATTTACACACACACACACACACACACACAAACAAAAACAACACAAAGACCCATGCTTTAAAATCTTAATCTTTTTGTGTAAAACTTCCCACTTCCTCTATTACTTTACCAAAAGCTTATAAAATCCCTCGAAAATTCGTCATTTCGTGTGTACTAATCCACTGGCAATGCCTTTTTTTCTACATTTTCAAATTCTTCTTATTTTTTTTTTACTTTCATTAAAAAAATCGTTTACAATTATTTACAAAACTTTAGACATTTTTTCATTCAATTAGAAGTGCTCAAAGAACTTTATTTGTTTCACATTGGCAATTAAGCTTGTTTTCTTTTTTCCAAGCAAACAATGAATAATAAAGGCGAATGAGGCGTGTTGTTGAGCAGCTGCATTATTTCCTGACTTATTTTTAAGAAAATTATGAACAAAAGAGAAAGTAGTAAAAAAGACAATAACATTATTCGATTATTATCTCTTTTCCTCTCATCAGTCGTTATTTAAAAACATTTTAAGCACGGGATTATGATACAAGCAAGCCTATTATGGACACGCTAGCAAATCCCCAAAAAGAAAATTAAAAAGGTATCATTTTTTTTCAATGGACAATTTTTACACTAAAACTACAAATATGATTGATCTGCAATTCAGCTTAATATCGAACAATAGAAAAGAGAACGTAAAAAATTAAAGTTAAATACATGACGATATCATCAAAAATGGTGAGAATTGAGTCATGCATTCAGAGAAAGAGAGCGAGCCATTCTCGTTTTTAAACAATTCAAAAATACTGAGATGAATAAATCGTTATTAATAAGAATTCCATCAACTGTGTATATTTACTTACATACTAGTTTCATACTATTTACTTAACCATTGCAAGCAGGTGGTTGTAAATTAATTAGCAACTTTAAGGCTTACCTATATACACTGAAAATACAGGCGAAAGAGTCCTCCTCGTGCTGTGGCTAGTGAAGACAATAAGAAGAATCTATGTCTGACTGGCTGGGATATGTCGCAAGTATATGTGGCCCACCTTCGGTCAGCAGACAAACAATTGGACAGTGGCGATCAGCATCGAATTGTGGCCAAAATTACAACTTTCTCACGACCTGTCCCAGACTAGAGGCCACATAAAAGCAGTCAGTATTAGATTAGCCCATCGGAGTTTTCTAAGCTGAAAAAGCCACTGTTACTAGGCCAAACGGGGCCGACATCAGTAGCTCACGATTACTTACTCATAATATGGATGACCATCATCAACACAAAAAATTGCTTTGTTGGCTTATAACAATATAAGTATAAGATTCAATAAAGTAAAACACATGATTCAATATAAAAACGGGTCATTTGAAAGTTCGTTTAAGAATTCTGAATGCACGCGCTTTAGGTGTGATCCTCGTCGTGTTTAAAATAGAAAATTAAATTAAAAAATGCCAGAGATTTGAAAGCTGGAAAAATAAAGGAAATGTTTCGGTTTAAAAAAATCGGTACAAGTATATCCACAACCACAGCTGCTGGCCCGTTTGTTGATCCGTAGTTAAAAAAAAGAAAATAAGCTAGAGCTGTCAGTGGTCGGCGTAGCTAAGCTTAGCTGCTGCTGCTCCAACTAACAAAGAATCCGGTCGTCCGCGTGAGGCCCACTACATGCAAGCGATCTGACTTGAGCACTAAGAGCAGTGATAAGAAGAATGATTATTAACAGTTACATTTCACTATTGCTGACAAGCTGGTAGAATTAATTAAAAATGTTAAAACAAACATACCTTATGTTAGTTTTACTTTAAAGAGAATTCCTAAAGTTAAAGAGAAAAAGTGAATAGTCAAGCCTTAAGTCCCGAAATCTGCTACACTTGCGTAAATATATAGTAGATGTCGTCGTGGTAGTAACGGCAGTAGTTGTTAATGTGTGAATAATGATAATGCGTGTAAAATTTACTGATGACTTTTTAGAGGCGGATGTTTTCAAAACTACATTTTCAGCGATTGTTGTTTTAAATCTGTGTTAAATAGTTATTCCTTTCTTCTATGTCTTTTTATAATCTGATTGAGCATATTTTACTCTAAATCAGATTTTTTTTTATCTATGTCAGTGATGTATTCATTAACGCTTTTCTCCACTCACATCTCTCTTCTTGTCTTTGTCCAGGGGTCCAACATGAGGTCGGTTGGTACATGGTGGGAAGAAGAGGGCAACATCCTAAATCAACAAATACTTTACTCTTTTTTATTTTTGTTTAAATTTCCTATTGTTTCTAATTTTGATAAATTGACTGGAATAATAATTTTACATGCTACACTACAGCCACACATAGTATATCTGCTTGTCTGATAATACAAGAAGTTTCAAACACTAGTTTAAAAAGCTGATTTTAGATTGGCGTCACCGAGTGAGCAGTAGGAGGATCTGAGACACAAGTTTTATACAGTAAAAAATAAAAAGGTTAGATTGAAAAATAATCTCTCTCTCTCTCTAAAAATCAAATAAAAATAAAAAAAAAAGTTATCTGAACTTTTTTTTTTTTTTGTAGGAAACAGCTTGGACATTTCATTGACCGGAGCATGGTTGGTTCAATTCACCCATGTTGTTATTTCTGACAAATACTTATCTACCAAGTTCAACCAAAAAAACAAAAAAAAAAAAAAAAAAACCCCCAAAAAAACGAACACACATACACACACACGCTCACTGAACGCGTGGAATGTTTTTGAGAACATTTAAAAGTAAAACACAAGATTTAGGAGTTAAATGAGATGTGAATGTTTGTGAACATTTATTTTAAACTGACCAAATAAATAAAAAAAGACAACACTGGTTCATTTCAATAACTTAAATTAGTTGAACTCTGTAAACTTTGCTAACCTGTTAGCAAGTCAGAGTTGATTTTCTTCATACTTTATCTATTCAACTGACATAAAAAGATTAAACAGATATCTGTGACTGCTCAAATGGAAAGTGTGAAGAAGAGAGAGAAAAGCGATGGTGTTTTTTTAAACGAGCAATGCTATTGTGAAAATAAAGCTACAGGTGGAAACTGTTAAGAAGAGTTAAGACTGAGAGAGAAAGAAAAGGAGAGGAGAGATCATCAAATAAAATCCCAGACTGACTGGCCATGTAAAATCAACTTCATTTTTTTTAAGCATTTTTGTATATTTTCTATAATTCCTGTACTCGTGGTTTTTATTTTACAATATCTCATAGGTTTCTTTAAAAATTCCAAAAGCAAAATATCACAAACTCTTCTTCTATATTCAAGGGAAGAGATGAGATAAGGCATGAAAAAATACTTACTTATGCATTCATCTAACTAAATGAAATTCTAACCCTATACATAATGAAGGAAATTTCACACCATCCGGTGTCTCAAAATCGGATAGTGTTAAATTTGTCTGAACTTCTGAAGTGAAGCAGAGTGTGTGTGTGTGTGTGTGTGTGTGTGTGGAG